TTAAATAGCCCGATCATTCCCATACATTGAGGACAATGTAAAATCTAAGAAGGGAGGAAAGGTCTTAAAATCTTCAAAAACTTTGACAATTTTAATCCCAAACAACTAAATAAATGAATAGAGCATAAGGTGGCACTACTCAAATAAGCGCGCCAACCTTAAGCTCACTCATCGATTGTATATTGACCGTGCTTGGATCACTGTACGCAACGCAGACACACCGCGATGGCCGATTAGTGGTTCCAGTAGAGCACGTGGTCAAAGTATACAATTGCCTCCAGCATGAGAGTACGTCACGCATGTTTCAAAAACTACCATCATGAAAGAGCGGCAAAAAGTTTAAATTTAAAAATTCAAATACCGTTCTTCCATGATAAAGGCAAATGTTGAAAGCTTGCTAAGACAAAAAAAAAAAATTATATGAATTTTAATTCAGCTAATCAATTAACATGTTACTAACAAATACGCTTATATACTTATTAGCAAATTATGCTTAAATATTAACCTTAATAAAAAAAATTAATAAAAAAATAAATAAATAAATAATAATATTTTAATTAGTCAGTTTAATAATTAATTTAATTAACATAATTATAATAAAATTAACTGATTTAAACAAAAAAAAAACTAACGAATAACTATAAAACAATAATTAATTAACAATTATAACTCCATAAACTATTATATTCTATTATTTATTTTATTTATATAATTATATTATTAAAACATATTAATAACTAATTATCTAATAAATCAACAATTTGTAATAATTGTTTAATTAAATTAATTTTAATAATAGTAAGCAAAGAAACAAAAGAAAACATTAATTTCATATATTAAACAATTATTATAAACAAATTGAGCGATTAAAAGGAGCTGTTGTCTAGTCTTGAGTATCAGGCGATTAGGAAGAGTAAGGAGGATACGCGCCGCGTAAGGAGTGGTCAGTCCCACGCCCACTATTCAATGCTCACTCCTCGGATCTTGCGTCTCTCTCCTTACACCGAGCGAAGCTAGAACCATTCGACTCGCTATATCATCGCGCTTGTGTATAGCTTGCGTCACAAACGTCATCCCTGTATGCAAATCATGCTTCTTGAGAGAATATATAACCCTAATAAGAATTCTAATACGAAACCTTCAAATTTCAATTTTTGGACCATAATATATTTGTAAACAGCTTCAGTTTTGAAAAACTGTCATAGTTAATTATTAATTTATTTAAATATTTTAATTTTAATTAATTTTATAATATTGAAGTAAATAGATAAATTAAAAAGGTTTAAAATTAAAATTTTATTTTCAACTTTTAGTAAATTAAAAATTGTAAAATATTGGAATAATATAATTAATCAAAAAATATTGTAAATAAATAAGATAATAATAAGTAGCTTTAAAAGAAAAAGGAGAGATATATGTGTTCAGGTAATATTAAAAACCATAAATTTATGGAAATGTATCAAATTTATTCAAAAAACACTCTTGCATTCATACTATAAAAATCAAGTCATACTGAAATATTTATACTAAAAATTATATATGTATAAATGTGTAAAAAAAAAAAATAAAGAAGAGGAGTTTTAAAAACAACAATTTCCACAAACACATAGAGGAAGTTTTAGGGGATCCTCATCTTCACCAGGTGGACATTCTGGCAGTTTATACCACAATGCATTGCTACTGAATAGCGGAGTATTTGTTTCAAAAAGTGAGTCCAATTTCCTTAGTTTAATTTTGGGACAAATTATCTCCCCATCAGATTCACGTTTGACACCTGTAACTGAAATAAACAAACAAATCCAATTAATTTAAAAAGTTTTTTTTTGAATCATAACAACAAACACAACGGTAAGGAAATATATATATTCATCAATTGATATTTACCTGCCTGTGGTTCCGACGACGGTCCTGCCTGAGGTTCCCATGAAACACCTGTCTGTGGTTCTGACGATGGTCCTGCCTGAGGTTCCCATGAAACACCTGTCTGTGGTTCTGACGACGGTCCTGCCTGTGGTTCCGGTGAAGAGCTGAATTGAGTTTCAACAGGAATTTCCGCAAATCCAGATAAAAAATGTTGTGACATCCCAGACAGTCTCATGCCTTGCACATCAGTAGAAACAAAAAAAAAGAGAGAGAAAAATTTTAATACTATATATAGGTGTATATATAAAATTATAACAGAAAAGGAAAGAAGAGACAAAACTAACTTTCACTTTCCCCCGATGAATGATCAAAAGAATGAAACTCCGATCGAGGAATTTCGACCATAGGAAGTTGACATTCACCACAAAAACATCCTTCCGGACGACCAGCACGACTAAGTATATAAATATATGCATTGATATTAACAAACAAAACAAAAAAAAGAGCGGGCTTTATTATAAATAAAAAGAGAAAGAAAAATTTTAAACTTACAATAAGGAATTGAACATTCTTGTCATCGTTCGAGACTCATCTTTAGCTTCCTTTTTTAATCGGACTAGAGAAGCCTTCCTTGTTTTTGGGTCAATCATAAAATTTGAAGTAGCATCCTTCTTACGTCGACCAGGCTTGCTCATTTCCTCTAGAACGTCAATTTCATCCAAAGAATAAAAAATTGACGCTGCTAATCTTTGCAAGGTCAAGAAAAAGGAAACTAAATTTGTCGCACACATTTTTCCATAAGGCACTGTAAAAAAAAAAACAACAACAACGATTTTTGAATTAACTTCAAACTAAATAAAAACATGAACGTTAAATAAATTTACTGCACTCACTTTTGTAACAATGAACTCTCCTTCGCAACAAATCAAATACTGAAGACGCCCGATACTTACCACATCACATGGGGATGAAGAGGATGTTGTCAACAATCCATCTCCACTTGAGCATTCCAAAAGCGGTCATTGACTATTCTAAGAAGATGAAAATCATACCTACCTCAAGAAGATAATCATGACACTTTTCACAACATAACACCCATCACACATTATAGCGTATTGTTGATAACGATTCACCAAACTTGTTGTCTTCGTATCATCGATAAGAAAGAGATGTCCGCATTGCTAATGAGCAACGTAATTTCATCAAGAAGAACTAGGGCATTGTATGATAGTCTCAATTTCATATTTCATAACTCCTATAAAGTTACAGACAATTAAAATTGTTATTTCATCGGGACGATGAAAGATTTAAGGAGGGAGGACTGTTACATCCCAGTAACATCCTTATTTCTGCATAATTTTAATTTTTCCAAATTAAGTAAAAATTAATTAAGACATAAAACACAAATATTGTGTATTTTAATTCAAGACTAAATATATAATAATCTATAGATGTAATAACAACAATATCAGTAACTTAAGAGAAATCTGAACAATTCTTGTTGCTGTTAAAACATGAAATTTTGCAAGCCTCAAGAAGCGCGATAAGCAAGCAACGTAGGAATGTTATAGATGAAAGTAGGTGAAAAGCGATGCGCCATGCCAAGGACGAGCGACGCAAGCTCGGGCTTGTAGTATCGTTATCGCGAGATGTTACTCCTAGACAACAGCATGTAATTTGATCTTCACTTTCCATATATGGCATAATTATTAGGTCACTTATGAAGGAATGTGCGCTCCTTCTTCAAAACAACTTATAAATAGAATTAAGACGAACAGTCCTAAATTCCTAGTAGATAACATACTTTACCCCCATAACTAACTACGAATTTTCCCACTTTTTGTCATTTTTAGAGTATATAAGCCAAAGCTTTCTCCACTAAGCTTGTCAAATGTTCCGGTGCGGTTTTATAGACCAATAGTCATTGTAGAGCGACCCTTCAGTTAAATAAAATTTATTGTATTCTTTCTTTAATCGGCAATTCAGTCCGCGTTGTACTCGATTATCGTGCAAGTCTATTTTGTTATTCACTTAGAAACAAGTTTCTTTCCGTAAAAGGTGCAAGAAGAGCAAATTGACACTTAGAATCAATAATTTTAAATGTATTAACTGTCGTATTTTGCGTGTCAAGTTTCATTAATTGTAGCTTTTCACTAATTCTTTCTTTAATCGGCAATTCAGTCCGCGTTGTACTCGATTATTGTGCAAGTTGCTTTTCTCACACTTAGAAACAAGTTTCTTTCCGTAATAGGTGCAAGTGACGATAAGTAACACTTAGAAGCAGTACTAGCTCTTGAAACAAACGCAAAAACCCTAAAGTTGTGAAAGTTACATAACTGTAACATAACAAACTTTCTTAGTTTCATTCAATTGAAATAACATCTTGAAACCAAACTTATACCGACCAGCGCTATAACCTGTATCCTACGACTAATCTGTAATAAAAGTAAGTAACATTTATGTAACTATTTGTAAACATTATTTGAATATTTAATAAACATTGTTAAAAGGGAATATTATTATTTGTTGTTAACGCAAAACCCGTAGTTTTGACAAGTACAAACGATCCTACTTAAAAATAAAGGTCAAGCTTTACCAACTTGACCATAATCAGCCTACCATTCCTCCAAAATTCTATAACCTAACCTATAAAATTGCCTTCTGCTCGGGATGTAACAACTCTCTTGTTCGGCTTCGAATTTAATTCATCTTTCGTTGCTATTTTTTGTTTTAATACAAAAAAATTATCAAAAAATTAAAAAAATATATAAGTTAATGTATAATTTTTAAATTTCTTAAACCGTATGAAATTTAAAAATTTTTGTAATAAAAAATTGAACTTTAGAGAAGAAAAAAATTTAATAATATGCCACAAATAGAAAAAATGTTAATTTTTAACGTTAATGAGGGGGCAGTTAAAAAATAAAAATTATTATTATTTATTATTAAATTATTCTAATTAATTATAATTATACATATATTTAATTGTAATTATTATATAATTAATAATAATAATTATTATTATTATTCTAAAGAAATAAATAAAAAATAGCGTGCCGCAATATAATATTTTACTTCGATTTGATTTTTCTCTGATATATAAATAAAAATGAAAATAAAAATGAATTACAACTTACCACCGACAGTATTGATGTATCCTTTTACAATTGAAGAATTTAATTTTATTTGGTATGCTTTTTTATGCTTTACATCAAAAGTTTTTAGTTTGAAATGCAAAATATTTTTCACCGGCACGATGTACGAGGTTTGATGATCCCAAACGTAAACACTTGCAAATTTTATATCAGATTCAGCCATTATCCATCAGAAAGTTTCACTTATTTCTTTAAAAAAATAATTATGAAAATAAATATTTTCATAAAAATGACACGTTTTTTAAAATTACAAAAAGATTTTAAACACATGCACCTGATTCACTGGACAGAGATGTTGAGATCTTCTTCTTCTTCTTCTTCTTTGATGACTTTAGGCTGTGCCGACTGTCAGAACTATAAGATGTTGAGATGATAATCTATTCAAGCGAGATAATATAACGTGTCGCAACAGGTGATTCATCATTTCCTCCCTTGTTTTTCGGGTCCTTACTTCTCCCCACTTCCTTTTCTGAGGTAATGCGCACCTTAAATGCGCCTGTTAAAAAGAGCCGGCTAGACTGTTTCAAAGACCCTGTTTTTATAATTCTCTAAATGTAAAGGCTGTATGCAAATAAAAAGGGTGCCGAAATACCCATTGACTGTTACGGGGTTGACGCTATCTACGAAAAAAGGTAAACTGGTGGAAATTTCTAGAATTTTGCATTATTGCATTCACATGTAAGCGTCTGTTTGTCTATTAGTTTCAATGATTATATCATTTGTTTTATTGCAAGTATCAAATAATCGGCAAATTAGTTTCGTTCAAAAGTTTTAAATAATTTTATATAATTTAAAAAGTTGTATGAAGTGAATAAATTTCCAGAGATTTTACAGTCGTTCAAGAAGACAAAGTTATGCATTAAAATGTAAATAGAGAAGAAGACAAATTTTTGGTAAGATTAAATTTTATTCGAATCCGCAATATAAAATAATGACAATTTTTCAGAATAATTTTAGGATTATTTATTTATATTATTTCAATGATTCTGTTGAATGAAAATATTAAAATTTAAATATAAGAAAATTATTTTAAATACTATTGAAGTTTTTGAAATGTTACTAATACCCAATGAGAAGCAACCTATTAAACATACTTCATAAAAACAATTATTTAATTTATTGTTAATGACTATGATCAAAAAGTAAGCAAATATATTTTTTCGTCTAAAATTTAATCTTAAGTTTAGAAAATTTTTCTGCTAAATTGCCGTATTTTTAAGGTTATCTTTTCAAGAAAGTTAAATTTTATGGAAAATAAAAACAAATTAAACATTGTTGAAACGTTATTTGCTTTCACATATTGTAATTTAGAATATTAATAAATGTATATTTTAATACTGCTTTTTTCTATATTTATATTTATTATTGCTTTTATAATAGAATAAACCGTTTAATATCAAAGTGTCAGTTACTATACTCGTTATCCTATTATAGATATTGTCTCTTTGCATCTGTCTATTTATTCAAATGCAAAAATTAAATGCATGTAAATTTAACAACAAAAATATTCAAAAAAAATTTCTTTATAAATTAAATGTAAATTATAGTACTTTTATAATTTCTCCTGTTTTTTTATTTTATCACCTGACAGTCGAAATAATATACGTACTGTACTCTCTTTTAAGTCTTTCACTATATGTAAACTTTGTTTTATTGAAAATAATTATCTCTATAATTTTTTTGAGAAAATCATTAGACAGCTTAGAAAACAGTAAATAATATTTAGGGTATTTATCCAAAAAAAATATGAATATTTCGAATTTTTACAGAGATCACCAGTAGAAAAATCATCAAGCAAAAAAGTGATTTTGCAGTAAATATGGATGACAATCAAAATAATATGGAAGGAGGAAAACCTCGTTTAAAATTAGAAGTATCAAAAAAAATGAAATTGATGCAACTTCAGGATGGTATGTTTATAACTGTGACTATGATTTATATAGAGTACCCGCTCTATTTATATAAAAAAATTATTAGAATTAATAACTTTGACATTCAGTTTTTCAACTTATTATTTTATACATATATGGAAACATTCTTTTGAAAAGTAATAATAGTTGAAAAATTATTAGTCTTTGAAAGATGAAATTTTCATTCTTTTTAAAAAAATTTAATTCTTAGAATTGTTTTATTACATTTTTTAAGTTTCAATTGAGAATTTTATAGCACGAAGTACAAATTTTAGTCTTTGATAATATGTAAAATACATTAATTAAACTTTAATAAAAAATGTATAAAAAATATATATATATTTTATTGATTTAAAATTAATTTTTATAAAATTCAAAAAAGTCAAAAAAAATACACACAGGCCTCGGATCGACATTTAAGTGCAAAAAAGATAACTTTAACCTTTTAAAAGTATTAAAAAAGTTGAAAAAGTCATTTATTTAATTTAGTGTTTGTCAAAAAATTGTATTTTATGTTTCCCCGACCTCACAATGATTTCTTAATTCAATTTTTCAAAATTTAAGAAATTTTGTAAAATAAATATTTAAATACTTTCTATTCAGTTTTTCACGGCAATAACTCTTCTAAAAAAGTAAATTTTAAAAAATTAAAAAATTAATATTTATAATTTTAATTTTATTTTTTGAAATCTACATTTCATATATTTACAAATTTAATTAATAATAAAATTTCAAATTTTTGAATGTAATAAATTATTTATAAAGATATTTCATTTTTTAGCACATGAAAAAGGCATAATTTTAATTTTTCCGCAAGACTATTTTCGAATTTGTTAAACTAGAACATTTATATTGCTTGTTTTCGCTCCAAAGATCATAAAAAGTAATAATTACTCATTTTATAACAATATCAGTCGCGTTTTTAATCACGGCACTTCTAGAATAAAAAATAACGCAAGTGAGACAACCTAAAAGTCTTTCCACTATTAACACATTGTTAATGTCAATTTTAACACATTTTAATTTGTAGTTTACTATATTTTTTGTCCCCTTTTTAAAGACAAAATTACCTTTTTTTGAGGATAAAATGTACTGTAATGCCTATTAATGTTAATTTTGTATGTTAATGTGATTTTGTATTATGAAGAAACTTTCTACATATACATTATAATATAGTTAAACATGTTATACAAATTATATGAAAATATAAAAATTAGAAAATAAAAAATTTTAAAGCTGTAATATTTTTTGCTTTTTAGTAAAAGGTTTTTAAGACCAACAGTTATTGTTATTACTTAACATTGTAATGCTACTTTAAAGAATATACTTTAAATTTTTGGTTAATAACTTTTTTCATTTTAGATGCTGCCCAAAAATATATTGGAATTTGCAAAAAACATGAGAAAAATGAATCTGAAAGAATACAAGATAATAGTTCAAGAATAGAATTAATGGACGAAAACGATGAGAGCAGATTTGAATTTACTGAAGATATGGAAGATCATGAATTTGAGAGAATAAACCACAACTTGGAAATTTCTGATTTATTTAATGAAAACTCTGACAATTTTGAACAATGCTGCAGCAACTACGATTCTGACTCAAGCGCTGACTCTGATGTGGACAATGATGCTGAGTTTTCAAGAGATACAAGCAATCATGACTCCTCATTTCTTCAATTCCATAATATGTTAATGTTTCCTCAATCAGGTTTGCAAGTGAATGATGTCATCGAAATGTTAATGGGATATTTTACACAGTTTGGATTAACTGAAGAAGCAAGACTTAAATTGATTGACATAATTAAAATTTTAGCAGGACCACTATTTAAAGATCTTAATATTTCAAATTACATGTTAAATAAAGATATGAATGCACCACCTGAAACAATTGTTTTTCATTACTACTGTCAAGAATGCGAAAAAGTTATTGTGCACTCCTCCGTCAAATCAAAAATAAAAGGTCAGAATAAAGTTTGCCAGCAGTGTCTAAGTGTAAATAAAATTAACCTTAGCAATAACAAATATTTTTTGACAGTGAATTTGGAATATCAACTTAATTTGTTACTAAAAGATGAGGAGATTCGAAATTATTTAATAAATGTAGCTAAAGGTATTACGAAAGTAAAGGAGACCACTGCAATTACGGACATTCAAGATAGTAAATTGTACAGGAATACAAAAGATCAATTTCCCAACACCATCACGTACAACTTGAGTACAGATGGAGCGCCTGTTAGTAGTGGCAAATCTGGTACTCGAAGTTTTTGGCCTTTGTCTATCATAATAAATGATTTACCTCCAGAAATAAGGTTCAAGTACATTTTGCTTGTCGGAATAATGGTAGTCACCAATGAACCTCAACCCCATTTGATGAATCTATTTATAGACAAATTCAAAGAGGAAGCTATTCATTTACATACTGCAGGTTTAACATTAGAACTAGCAAATGATTGTAAAATAACATTAACATTCACTCCTTTTTGTGTGATTGCGGACTCCCCTGCTAAAGCTCTACTACAATGCAGGATGAAATATAATGGATACTGTAGTTGCAGCTATTGTTACCAATTTGGTTTTTATTGCGGTATTGTAAAGTTTCCATTCATTGGAAGTGATTGTGAACAACGAACGCATAGTTCACACATGGAGGATGTCGAAAAAATGGAAAGCCTTGGTAAAACTGTGAGAGGTGTTAAAGGGCGTTCTTCTTTTTGTAATTTTCCAAACATAGATATGGTTTACAGTTTTAATTTAGACTTCATGCACAATGGGATCTTAGGAGTAGCAGAGCAAATTTGGCTTTTGATAAAAGCAAAAATTTCTGCATCTGAACGCCGTTCTCTTGACAATTTGTTAATACGCATTCAACCACCCAGAGAGCTACACAGAAAGCCCGAAAAGTTAACAAAAATTAGTTGTTGGAAGGCAACAAATTGGAAAGCCTGGCTATTGCATTACAGTGTACCACTACTAATGACGATAGAGTCACTTCCAATTGATTTGTTACACCATTACGCACTATTTGTTAATGCAATGTTCATCCTCTCAAAAACATATATTAGTCAAAATGATCTACTCCAATGTAGATTAGATTTACTAAAATTTGTTGCTCATGTGGAAATTCATTATGGAATTTCAGCCATGACATTTAATGTCCATTTGCTATTACATGCGACGGAAAATGTGATTAATACTGGTCCAGCTTGGGCTACATCTGCTTTCCCGTACGAAAGTAATATATTCGTCTTAAAATCCTCAGCAAATGGACCAAAGAATGCCGACCAACAAATGGCTAAAAATCGCTGCAAAGATTGAAATACAAATTTAGACATAGAGATCATCTTCCGCAAATTGTTAGAGATATTTGCGAATCCTTCATAACCGAAAAAAGGTATACAGCAAGTGCAAAATGCATAGACAATGTCAAATTGTTTGGATATTATCAATCAGAAGAAACCCCAGTGAACTGTGAAACTTATGAACGCTGTTCATATAACGGCATGATTTTAACAACTGCTTATTATAGCCGCAGTGAATCCAATAATGACTCAGTAGTAAAACTAAAAAGTAATCAAATTGCACAAATCCTTCAAATTTATATCAAAGCAAATGCCACCTGCTGTTTAAAGGTTCAATATTTAATGCTGGAACCACTTTCCATAAATAATATGACAGTTCAACACATATGGAAAGTAGTCACTTCTCCTCCGAATGTCGATATTGTTTTTGTTTCGGATGTAGAATCAAAATTAGTTGTAATAGACTTGGAGCAACATCAATATGTGTCTGCAATGCCAAACTGTTTTGAGAAACAATAATAACGATCAATGTTTACTTATTTTTGTTTCATTTATGCGAATTATTTATAAAAAAGCAACGTGAAAAATTCAATTAACAGATGTCTCTTTTGGCGATATTGATTTTACTTTGATTAAACTCTTACAAAACTATTAAGAAAAGAAATAAATATTTGAAATAACAGTATCGTCGATTCTTCGTTTTTTGTTCGTTTATTGTACGCGAATTAATTGAAAACAGAAACGTGAAATATTAATTAACAGAGGTCTCTTTTTATGACATTGATTGTACTTTGTTTAAACTGTGTTCCTTGCTATGTATGCGAAAATATTAAGAAAAAAATGATTGAAATAATTGTTTTCAAATTAAATATTTATAAATTCATATTATTTCTTAATGGAAAAAGGATATACTACATAACGTAAAATAATAATAATAATACATTATAAAAAATTATTATTATATTATAAAATAAGGTTTTTAAATATTTGCATAAAAAAAATTTATTTAAAAAAAATTGTTAGATTTTAATGAACCAATTTCTTACAATCCTTATTACAAACGATAAAAAAAGCAAGTCCAATAATGCACTTTTTACATGAATTTTTAAAAATTTATTTATTATTATAAGTTATTTATGTTCATTATTACTATTTTTTATTTAATTTTACATTACTTTTTCTATTAATAAATTATAAATCATGTTTGGTTACATGATAAAAATCCTTAATCATAATTTAATAATAAAATTTGGTAAATTAAATATTTAAAAATTGTGTAGTAAATAATAATAATAATAATAATTTACTCTATTAAAAATTTCAATCCAATTAATGTTTATTGTAAATAATATTACATTATAAAATAAGGTTTTTAAATATTTGTATTAAATAAAAATTTATTTAAAATGAATCAATTTCTTACAATCCTTATTACAAACGATAAAAAAAACTCAAGTCCAATAATGTACTTTTTACATGAATTTTTAAAAATTATTTATTATTATAAGTTATTTATTTTAATTATTACTATTTTTTTATTTAATTTTATATTATATTTTCTATTAATAAATTATATTACACCATTTTTTTTAATTATATGTTAAAAATCCTTAATCATTATTAATAATAAATTTATTGTAATTGTTAATATTATTTATTTAATCAACTTTAACACATTTAATTAAAATATCTTTTTAAATAATCTACTTACCTTTCATTGTTTTGTTTTCTCCATTTGAATTTGCCACAATTCTCTAGTAACTTTCTGTTGGTAACAGTAGATTTCTTTTAGTCCATTTAAACTTAGCACTTCATTTATTCACATGGTAAATTCAGTTGCGCTTGTCAAACTTTGCTTTTACCAATTTTTAACAAAAAATAAAAAATATTCACTGTTTCTTATTGAAATCGGCATGTTTACATTCCAGGACAATTGTGCTATCAATTTATAATGTGTACTCTGTTCATGTGATTTTAATTTTGATGCTAAAATAAGACCGTATTGGGTGGATGAAAAAAGATTGAGTCAAACGTCCCAATACGGTTTTTCCTCGAATCCGTATTGGCTCAGAGCTTTACTCAATTCCTAAACGCTCCACTCAATACTTCTTTTTTTACTGGGTAGTCTCTTTATTATCTAAAAGTTCTTCCTTCTTCTTAATTACTTTTTCATTTCTTTTTTGATCTGGTTTTATTTCATTTAGTCCATGGATAACTGTAGATTCCGAAATATCATTTTTTAGTAGTAAAGTGTCGTTGTTAGGACAGGTATAGTTTTTCAATTGATTTTCTTTCCCTATCTCAATTGTAAGTTTGCTGCTTTTCAAATCAGTATTTTTTGAAGTCACCTCTTTATTTTTTTCACTGCCTTCCAAAATTTTGTTGTCCAGGAAATAATTTTGGTTTTCCGCTTTTAAGAAATCGACTTTTATGATAGGGTAACTGCACCAATTGCCGAGGGTGCTCCAATTGTCGAGGATAATAATTTTCTTTTTTAGATAAATAGTATAATATATAATATTTAAGAACAAAAAAAATTTCTAAATAATCTTTGTATTTTCAACTGTATATTTATATGTACAAATTTCGTAGCGATTCTACTAAAATAATTATTTAATTAATATTATAATTCACTGCTGTGAAATTTACACGAATCTCCATTTTCTTAATACTTCAGGTTGATTAAAACAGATTTTTAGAAATGCAAATTAAACGTATTTATAATGACTTTTTGTGTACAAAATTATTATTATAATTTTGTACACGAACTAAATTAATTTTGTATGCATGTTTTTTTGTTAAAAAAAAATATTTAATATTTTTTAAAAGCAAATCATCGGTATTTGGTTCCTTTTTTTTGACAGTTCCATTTTTCGAGGTAATGACTCGAAAATTGGTGTAGTCACTTTTTTCGCTGATGCACCATTTATTAATGGTTAAGTGTTTATTTACTAAACGTCAAACATAAATGCCAAACATTTATAGGTACAGAGAAAAAGAAAAAAAATGATCCAAAAATTTACAACCAACAGAAAACAATCAACCAAAAAAACGAGGAAGACCGAAAAAAAATTAATAAAAAAATGCATTATTTAAAACTAAAAAATTTTGTACTATAGTTTAATTATAATTAACCATTATATTTACAGTTCGTAATAAAATTTTATTTTATTCGTTTAAAAATTTAATGTGACTTAAATTAATTTATTTTTTAAATTAATGTCTGATTAACAAAATTGATTAAATTTAATTAACTTATATTTATAAAAGTTTAAAAAACAGTTAAATAATTTTCTGTCCTGTATCATCTACTATAAAAATGTTTTATATCGATATTATAAATTATTCAATTATAGTTAAATAAATATATTTGTTTTCTGGTAATGTTCTATAATATTTTTATCGAAAAAATAAATATCTACTCGATTTTCTGACCATCGACAAATGGTGCTTTTGCTCGATTGACTTTTAAATATATTTTTTGCTTAACAATTTAGTTTATATTAAAACAATAAATATGAATATTAAACATTATTAGATCCTTCGTCCAAATATACAAAAATCAAATTTTAAAGTGCATTTACTTCCGAGAAAAAAAATGTCAAAGTCGCATGTTGCCTAAAACCCTCGACAATTGGTACAGTTACCCTACAATCCCTGATTCTATCTACTATTTTATTATCTGGAAGTTTTTCATTGATACTGATATTTTCTTCGGAAGTATCTATAATGGGACTCATATACAACTCTGTTTGTATTTTTTTTGAAGATTCCTCTGGATTATTAATTACTTTCTCGTCACTTGATTTTTCGCCTTCTGTTTGAAAATGTAGTTCACTTACGGAGTGTGATACATTATGATTCAATTGTTTTTTGTCCTTTAAAGGGCTTTGGTTTCTGGGCGAATCTTTAAAAATAATTGGTGGTATTGTGAAATCATGATCATATATTTTTTTATTTTTAGGCCTGGTTTCTATAAAATCATTTGTTTCGAAATTGTCATTTACAAAATATGGTTTCTCATAGTTCACATACAAGTCATCATGGTTAGTGCATTCATAGTTTCTATGTTCCTCTCTTCCGTAATCATACTGTATGTTGTTGTGCCTTCTACATTCGTCTCTGAGATAAATACTTTCTTCTTCGTCGATAAATCTGTGCTGTAAATTTCTGGATTCAATGTTATATTCTTGCAAATTCTGATCCCTGTTGTAAAAATTTTCTCTTTCATAACCTTCCGATGTCATGTCCATATTTTGACAATGTTCTTCAAAATTCGAGTTGCTATTTTGGTTATTAAATTCAATATGGCCATGGACCCTTTTACGAACTCGTTGCCTTTGTCGTTGGTTTCCTCTTTTCCGCTGTCGGTTACATGGTTGTTCGTATTTTTTCGATGCATCTAGTTCATACGTGTTACCTTGGTTTTTCGCATTTTTATGGCTGTACCGATTCTCATGATCCATTTGTGGTTTAATATAATTAAAATAATCAAAATCTCGATCATAATCACTTTCTTCTATCCTGTGACCATCCTGCCTAATGTTATAGTTTTCTTGGTACACATTTTTGTGACATTGATCTCTAAAAATACTTTCATGGTCCTTTACTTCAAAATTATATCCCTCCGATTTCCATTTTTGTATGTAGCCTCTCCGTAACATTGCTTCATACAGTGATCCCATTTTATGATTTAATACGATTTAAACATAAGCAATAATAAGTAATTGATTTGTTTAACTAATTTTTAAATGAAACTGTTTCATAATGTTCATAACGTTAAATGTTCGTAATAGATGAATAGATAATAGATTTTTTGAATGAAAATAAAATTTTTACATTTTTCTTTACTGCATCAATCTATGAATTGTTTTTTAAAAAATTTAAGAAACATTTAACTCAGAAAAATATTTATCAATTTTATTCAAAATTTCAAATAAGTACTTATTTATTAAATTTATTTTAAAATAAAAAGTTTCCACCATTTTTGTTAGAGATAAATTTATATATATATTGTTCTTTTTAATTCTTGC